GGAGAATAGATCACGGGCCCGACGGGGGGGGGGGTTATATGAGGAAGGAGGAGAGAGAGAGAGAGAAAGACGGGCGAGGGCGAAGGGGGTTGAAATGTCGGCCCTCCGAACAGATATCGACGTCAGTGCACCGTCGCCCAACGCGAAATTTTGTTTCCGTTGCCACGGGGAATCGTCCGAGGACTCCGTTCACCCGGGTCCGGCCGACCAGCCCTGATGTGAAGGTCGGCCTTCTCAATACCGGCACCCCACCCACCGCCCCTTCATTTGTCCCTATTGCCCCGCGCTCTCCCCGCCCACCCGCACCCGCTTGAAGAACACTCCTAAGGCTTCCCGCCTGTCATGTGCCCCAGAATCACCCGGCCGCGGGGTCAGCCCTGAAGCCTTGACAAACGGTTCATGGTTGCCATCACTTGGCCGCCTGCTGGCATAGGGGAATCTCGGGTGAGCCCGGTGAATGTTTGAATGCTCATAACATTCGATCCACCTCCGGAAACAATATTTGAGAGCCTAGCGAGATTGTCATCGGGTCAAACGACTCTTTTAATGGCTGGAGTAAGAAACACTATTGGTCACCACACCCCGTACGCCTCTTGAATCCGGTTATGATCACCAGACGCGTTGGGCGCTCGATTCACGTGGTCCCTGAAAAAGCCCCCCTCGGTCTGAACGCCAATCGATTTTGAACGCGGTCCGATCCCGACGCATGCGAAACTCCACTCTTCTTGTCCACATCGATCCCATCAACCCACCAGCAGGATGAGCAGCTTTGGTACACTTCTTCCTCAGCCCGTCATGAATAAAGACTCTGGCGACAATGCGTTCTTCTATGGGACATTGATGTATCCAAAGATAATCAAGCGGGTACTCAACAACACCGGCAATCATCTAAGCGTGTGCCCCGCCATTCTGCTTGTGCGCCGACCACCGATCGGCACACATATTGTATCATTAACTTGTCTTCGCCACCTAGGACTATACGCGTCATCAAGTCAAACACGCCGACTATCCTGGCGTGATTCCTTACTCGCAGACAAGACGACTGCTTGATAGGGAATTGCCAGAATCCGAGCGATGTGTGCGCGGATCGCTGGTATATGGCCTGACTAAGGAGGACTTTAGCGTGTTGGATATTTTTGAGGGCGGCGTTCGTCCTCTGGAACTGATTCCTATCCTCTTGACTTAACCCCTTTGTAGGAATACACTCGCTACAGAATCTCCGCACATCCTGTGGGACCCCAGGAGCCTCTAGACATTTCTTCATTGCACCATTTACCACTCTCACCAGACTTGCCATCTCTCGACGCCCTGGGGACTGCTGTTAGCTCGTATATCTACATCTACACCGAAGGGCTGGAGTATCTCAAACCCGATATTTGGTCATATGAGACATTTGTCAAGGAGAAACTTTGGCGATGGATTGATCCAAATAACAACGACGAATACGATGAGACAGATAGGAAACGGCATCTCCTCGCCACTGACTTCAATAACGAGCCTGAGCCTGCAGAGGATACAACAGGCTTCGGCAAGGCTATGCTGAGCGAATTCTGCTTTGATGAGGGTTACGTCAATCTCAACCATGGTACGCCTTTCCGGCTAGTTTCGAAGACAACCTCCCGTCATTTGATTAGGCTCCTTTGGTTCTCTGCCACGGCAAGTCTTAGATGCCACAGAGATCATGGCGCGAGAAGCTGAAGCTGCACCGGATCTTTTCATGAGGAGAACCTACCTCCAGCTCCTTGCCAACGTCCGCGCCCGGGTGGCCAAGTTCATCAACTGTGAGCCGGACGAATGTGTCATCGTCGCTAATGCTACCCATGGCATTAATACGGTGCTTATGAACATCGACTGGAAAGAAGGAGACATCATTGTTGGCTGTAAGGATAACCGCAGAAAGATATGGCTAGCCTTAACTGAGTGAATGTGTTTAGTCACGACGACTTACGGGGCTGTTGGAAGCACACTGCGGGCTATGCGTGATCGTAACCGAGGCCTGTCACTGAAGATTATTACTTTGACTTATCCTATGCGACATGTCGACCTTCTGTCGATGTTCAGACAGGAACTCGCATCTATCCCAAGACATGATGGTCAGACCGTCCTTTGTATCCTCGACGGGATAGTGAGCGTGCCTGGCGTTATAATGCCTTGGGAGTCCATGTGCAATATCTGCAAGGAATACGATGTTCTGAGCTTGATCGATGGTGCCCACCTAATAGGTCAAGTATCAGTAGACCTGGCGTCTGCGCAGCCTGATTTCTGGATTTCTGTGAGTGAAATTCCCGAGCAGCCTTTTTTGTTCTTATCTTAGCGACCTTACGTGGCAGAACTGTCACAAGTGGCTCTATTCCAAGAGAGGGTCTGCCGTTCTTTATGTTCCTCATAGGTAAGTGGGCAACCCCCTTGCACATCGTCCGCCAACAGCTGCGTCTAGGAACCAAGATATTATCAAAATCACTCTCCCCGTCTCGATCGGTTATGTATCCCCTGACGATCCTCCTCCAAAGCTCGACGGACCTGCTCGTTTTGTACGATTGTTTGAATGTGCATCATGCCTGCATTCTCCTGGCATCTTGTTGACGGGAAGTTCTAGGGACAGGTACCATTGACATGATACCATTCTTGAGCATAGACTCTGGTATGAAACAAGCTCTGAATTCATCGAACTGAAGCTGATCCACCAATCAACCCACGCAGCCCTGAACTTCCGCGAGGCCATTGGAGGGGAGAAAAAGATCAACGATTATTGTCATAGTATGGCCATTCAAGGGGGCCAACATTTGGCATCGGTATTGGGCACTCGAGTACTGGATGAGACCGGGGAATTAACGGCCAATATGGCAAGTCCAACTGCTCTGACAGCTTCGATGACTCTGAGACAAAAGAAAGACAAACGTGCTGGTACCACTCGACATCTCGCGCTTCAGTGGTGAGCAGCTCGGCGGGTTACTCTCGAACTTCAACAACACTTTACTTGATAAATACAACTGCTTCGCGGGTATCTACTTCCACGATAAGAAATGCTGGGTTCGATGCAGCGCTCAAATCTGGACAGAGGTATGCATCCTGCCCTTGTGTGCAATCCGTTGCTGACTGGAGATAGCTATCTGACTTTGAACACGTCGGCAAGGCCATCCTGGAAATTTGTGAAGCGTATACCCAGAAAGGTGTTGATGTGCACGTTGCACGCAACGTCATCACAGACGAGGAGATGGAAGATCACTAGATAACATAGACATGATGATATCCCCCGTCCCTTGCGGACATGCAGCATTGCACAACATAACATTCAAACGACGACTCCGGCACATCTGAGTGGCATGATTTCTATCTGAAGGAGCGTAGTGAACGGCCACTGGACAAGAGTTAATATGTTGTAGCAAGAAGACCCTGGATCACATACGTGATAGTCTTGCGATCCTTCTCTCCAGATGTTTCCATCTTCGCCCTGTTGAGTACCTTCAAGAACTCCGTCACACGATGACGCATCCGACTGTGCATGTACGCTTTCGAGCATTTGATGTGATAATGGAGGTAGTCGCGGAATAATTGGATGCGAGATATGGTGGAGGCTGCTGTATCGGGAGTGGAAAAGTGACGAGGGAAGAGGACTGCAGCTCCCATGAGAACGACATGACAATGATGTTAAGAACACTAACCAAAGGTTACATATCCAACATCTTCCGAATCTTTTAATCCCGACAAGTGTCGAATCTCCAGTGGTGGCTCACGGTTACTGTAGAGAACCTGTGGCGCATTCTGGATGGAGGGGAGGCGTCGCGCATCGACGAATTCCTGGACAGTGTTAGGATAGATTCAGAGCATTGGCATCACGGTTGTTGCATACCTGGAGGAATACGCGTCCAGTTATACGATCCGTCTCTTCTTTGAACAAGGTTGAGAATATCACAGTGACGCGATCATGGCTCGCTCTCATGTAGATCGCTTCCTCGTCGCGGTAATGGATTTGCATGAGCTCGGCCTCTGGTCTAGCAGACCCATCAATAGGCGCAGGGATAGACTCCAGCTCGTATTGTTTCAGGAATGCGCGCTCAAAGGGAGCGGCAAGTGCGTTACGCTTGATGAGGGCAACGGAGTGGATGAGAGCTTCACGCTCGTCTGTTGATGGCGCGTAAGCATCCTGCCGGGAAAACAACGTCAATTGCAATTCCACTTACCTCCCTCTGGTACTTTCTCTGTGTCGAACTGCAGGGACACATTGTATTCTGGTTCTACGGACGGCGCGATCCACTTGCCGTATTCGCGCTGAATGAGGTCTTGTGCGCCGTATTTAACCAATTCCTCCCAGCAACGGATGTTCATGGACAAGAGGAGGAGCGTCTTGCGTTCGGGTGTCGACAAGTGGAAGCGAACACCGTCATAATCAACGAATTGGACGTCTAGTGCAGATGGCCTGGAGCCAAGACGAGGGTGAGAGACGAATTTAGGGATCATCACGGCACGCACTTTTGAAATTTTTCTGTGAGAGTATTCTCAATGATGACGTTTTGAGACTAGAATCCGTTGTGAACATTCTCCATCTACAAGGCGGGATGAACCTCGCAAAAGACGGTTCGGCTCACCTCGAGGAGGATCATGGTGGGCGCCTGTGGTAAGGGAGCAATACCGTCGGAAGCAGATTGGGAAGATGGTCTTCGTCATAAAATCACGTGTTCGGTCTCTGGCTGTCATAAGACTATATTCAAAAGAATATTGTTGTATATTGTATGCATGTGCATCCTCAAGCTGCATCCAATGTCACCCGTTCACTTCGGACAAGCGCTCACCGCGCCGAGACATAGCATTTGAAAGGCTGAAACGACGTGGAAAGATCTAGAGTATATGGAAGAGAGAAACGGGATTCGAAGAATTGAGTGATAAGAGGGTCCACAAGATGAGCGGAACAAGATGACTAATTGTTGACATCTGACTCCGATGGACTCGGCCCCTTTGCGGCATGCGCATGCCAATCACCAGGAACAGCTCGGAGGGAAAGTGTTCCCACGTTTTCCATTTCAACGCCCCGGGTCCTCGACAATGTCCCCGTCCTCATCCTCCTCCCACCATCTTCCCCTCTCCCTCCACAACGGTTCCCCTCGACAGCCATGCTCGCCACTGCTTTCCTCACCATTATCTCTCTTGCCCTCCTCGCTCGCTCCCAGATTTTCACGCCCTCCTCCGCGGTGCAGTGCGAACCTGTCCTCGTTACCTGGACGGCCACAAATAGCCCCCCCTACATCATCTCAGTTATTCCAGGTGGACAAGTCGGCGCGGCCGCCATTGAGAATATTGGAACTTTTACTAGCACCAGCGTCACCTGGTCAGTCGATATTCCGGCCGGTAAGCACGTCCGCTTCGTATCATGTCATTGATGGCTGTCCTTGCTCATCACCCGATTGTCAAGGCACGTCTCTTACTTTGCAGCTCCGTGATGGAACCGGCCAGCCTCTCTACTCCGGTGGGTTGTTTCCTTCTATCATTTATACTTAATCTGATGCTGCAAAATAAGCTCCCTTCACGGTTCAGACTTCTTCGGATGCCACATGCATAGGCACGAACGCGGGCTATGTTGGTGGTGCGGGGCTTCCAGCACCGCACGGTAGCAGCTCTGCATCTGCCGCGTCCTCTTCAGGAACCACATCGGGTTCTGCCTCTTCTGGATCTTCTTCGTCTGCTACCACCACCACGTCCGCTAGCTCTGCAGGCACTACTACTACCTCCACTTCCGTAGCTTCCACAAGCTCGTCTACGTCATCTTCTAGTCATTCAAGCTCTTCCACCGGCTCTATCAGGTTAGTATTGCATCTATAAAAAAATCACCCACATCACTCACTCCTGCCAGCCATACCTCGTCATCAACTGCGGCCACATCTGCCTCTGCCAGCCCCAGCAGCGCAGCCATGGCCATGGCCCCACTCGATTTCAGCATGGCTGCTGTTGCCGGTCTGCTGGGTTCTCTCCTCTTTGCTTGAAGTTCCTCGTAACCGTAGCCAAGAAAGTGCACTCTGGGTTTATCAAAGCACTGGGGCCTGCCGGTGAACAATGTCCATAGTATCTTTTTCTTTCTCTCTGGACGACTTCCTCTGAGTCGTAGGCTGATATTCACATCACGCACGGACTGTATTGAACCTCAGGAACCTTCAAGTTACTTAGCTCGTACATCAAAATTGTGTGTTGTTCTCTCCCCCTCGTACCCACCTATTGTGTGAGCATGTCATTGAGACGCCAGTACGCATGCAATCTCACGCGACGAATCACGCACAAATTACTGGCTGAAATCGTGTGTACGAATGGTAACAACTAGTTTCCCGTCATTTATTCGCAAATTGGCCCCTTCATTTGGCTGCGTGTTCACGAAGAACAAGATTAAGACCCTCTCGTTGCATGCAGTTCTCGAATTTGAAGCTGGCGGCCATTTCGTCGAGCTGCTGGTTGGTCAACCCATCGAAATAGGCAGCGTATTCGGGGATCAGCTCCTCGGACAAAAGAATATTCCGCATGATACGACCAACTGAGAGAATTTCGTTCGCAAAACTTTTCCAGGCGCTGAGAGGAATACTTACTATGGTTATTTGGTCTCCAAGTGCTCGGATAGCGCTGTTTGATGTGCGGGACCTTCGAAGTTCGGTCAGGTAGGCCGCAGCACACTCGTTGCGTTCACTAACCTCCTTCACAAACCAGGCTTCAAGGGGGTCGAATACATCCTTGACGGTACTAGTATCGGCGCCCCAAGCATCAGCTGCTAAGCGCTTCTTCTTTTGCAGAAATGCATCCAGGCGCTTCATGTAAGGAGTGTCGGGCGCGCAGTATACCATTCCTTAAACACGGATAGACAGGTCTGCACCTCACAGGAACCAATATCTTACCCTGAAATCCAATGTCCTGTATGCAGGTCATCAACCCTGTACCGCGTTGTCAAGGGTGAGGCAGAAACGTGCCTTATACAGCCAGATACTCCATGAGACCTTTTACACACCAGCTATAGTCAACGAGAGCAACCACTGATACGATACAGGACCGAACCTTATGCTGGTCGTACAGCGACAACTGGTCCTTCAAGACATTATACCGATCCACATTGATACTTTCCCAGTCAGGCGCATCCGTAGGGCCCGCGTAAACCGGCCCGCTGCATCCGAGTCAATTTACTTTTCCTCGGACAAGTGGAAAACTCACAATTCACCGTTCCTAAAGATGATCAACACATCAGACAGTGGAAAACAGAACGCCACATTACCAAATGTGGCCACCATGCTTGAGATGATACGCAATCTTCCGCTTAAAGCTGCTTTCTAGCCTCATTTTTTGTTCTGGTGTGCCCTGTGTCATTGTTCAATCGACAACACAGACGTTGTCTGTAAGCAGCACCTTGTACGGCTCTCCAGCCGGGAATCCGAAGTTGCTGTAGTCATGAATAGCATATACGCTGTTAGGCAGCGGTTGGCCGAAACTGACAAAACCCCACGCGTGAGCAGTTCCTTTCCCATCATGGCCGAATGACCGTACCGAGAAAAATCAGCCTGCAATGACATTATTCGGCATGTCAAGGCTTATAAAGAAGAAAGGAAACTTGCCGCGAAAGTATTCCCTTACAGATACGTAAGTGGTGAGGCTGCGAATCCCCTGAGAAAAGCTTAGAGCTGCTGCTTACCGTCATAGAATTGAATGTGCTCCGGATCCACCTCGAGTATTGCTTGGTTGACACGCTCGTACCATGCCAGAACGCGGGTATGCTCCTTGTCCGTCGGTTCATTTAGCGGGTTGTAACCTGCGACCTACGCGCAGTTGACGGAAAAAACCCCTTGGCAGAATGCACCTACATACCCAGGTGTTGCCCTTGTAACGAGCGGCGAGCTTTCGCCACAACGCAATTGAACGATCCTGGAACTCCTTGTGCTCCCAGAAAAGGGCTTTGTGGATCCCTGTGTCTAAAGGATGGGACTGTGGTTAGACGCCGCCCAAGTCAGTGTGAGACTTCTGACCTGAATGCCAATCTACGTTTTGACCTGGGCTTCCCACTCAGCTACTCTGTAACGTTCAATGCATGTTTCTCACCTCCCGGGGCTGCGTGCAGCTGCATATCTGCGTTAGATATGCCACTCACATGAACGTTAACTGCTCACGTCGAGAATGGTGAAAATTCCACGCCTGGCACACTGAGCTCGCCTTTAGGGAGTGTCCAAATCCAATCGTCCTCACGTACAATATTGATCACCCGATCCAACCACAAAAAGCCACGTTCTAGAAACACTCCTGGATTGAGATCGCTCTCGAAATGACGGTAGTTGAATGGAATCCTTTTATGACTTGAGATGGCTACCCGACAAGCGAGGGCTCGCTCACCTCAAGCAATTGAGGCCAAGCGAAGCAAAGAATTCAGCGTCTTTATCATCGAAAAAGTATTCCAGGAACTTCAATCACGACGGTAAGGACACCAGTAGAGGTCAGGCAAGGATAAGCAAACCCGGTCGAAAAAGAAATCGTATTTCTCTTGCCCTAACACCTTTGACAGGGCCCTGCGCATCTCAGTCTCATGGCCAGGGTATCCCGTGATGAAGTTCTCCATGTTCAGCCAGCCACCGAGACCGGCACCCTTGAGCAAGACTTCATGTCCATTCGCATCCACGATTGCGCTCCCTTTCAACCGCAGGACACCCGTCTCCGAAGGAGCAGGTGAGGGGGGGACGTTGATGTTGACACTCATACCGACTTGCTGATACAACCTGGCTGTCGACGAAAAGGAAGGGCCAGCAGACGACACGGTACTGGCTTTTGGATCTGCCTTTGTAGCAAGGTCCACTGGAGAATGTCCACCAGCTCGGCGTCATACCCTTTTAAGGGAGCCAGGACCGGACCGAAGGTCTCGTGCACCACACTCTTTGTACATCACATGGCGTGTGTATCTGGGCTTTTAAAGCAACTTATTAGTAATAGAGGCCGGGTCTGACAGAAATGGGGCTATCTATCAGTGGCAGCATCAGTAACAACCCTTTGGCCATGGCTGGCAACTTTGGTGGAGCAATGGAATGTGGCCAGACACCGACAAATGCACGTCACGCCGTTCAAATAATAGCTACAACAAAGACTCAATGTAGATTTCAGGCCTCACGTTTGAAACTGCCGTAATGCTATCTGTCTCTTTGGCTGGAGGGGCACTCTTCCTGTCGAGGAAGCTGCTTGGCGTAACGCCGTCTCCATGTTTGCGCGTGTACTGGGGTGCAATAGAAGAGTCGTACGTCTGAACGCTTCAGGATATTGAGACGCTAGGTTAAGGACGTCATTTTCCCCGAGCTTGTGGATTTTCGTGGCAGCGTCATGTTGCAAATACGCCACGTACACAGGCAATAAAACACATAGCAATCTCGGGACTGAATATGAAGGATTGGTATGGACCCGGCAAAAAAAACCCTCGAACTCACTTTGAGCCGGGTTGGCAACTTTCAGAGTTGAATCCAGAAGCCGTTGGCGTTCTTCCGGAATGTCACAAGCGGCATCCAGAGCCAGGTGAACTAAGCCTGGCAGCAAGAGTCGACAACACACTCGCAAGATAGGGGGGCCCGTTGGTGCGGAAGAAATCAAAATGTTGGCGCATTGACGTGCCACAAGCGCGATTTCCTGTTTGATTTGAGCACGTTTTCTACGGTGGGTGAACAACAGGAATGGCACTTACTGCATCAGAATCTCCGAGCCGTTGGATCAACAAAGAGTTGTACTGTTCTACGAGAGGATAACTGAAGGTTGTTCCTTGCGCAGCAATGGAGATTACCACCGCAGCGGCGAGCATGTTGTTCTGCAATTTCATGGTGACCTCTGGGCCACGTCGTCCACTAAGAAAGCTTAGTCGACTTCTAGGCAGCAAACACTGGCATTTACCTGATCGCTTCTATGTTGATCACGCAGGCCGATAAGAGTGCATGCACTGATTGGTCACTCCTTAATTTCCAGGCCGGAGCATTTTCTCCGGCGGTTGACGGCCAAGACAGCAGTGTCTTTAGGGCGGCTAAGAAACCTCCAATGCTAGATGTAGCTGGGGATTCTTCTCGCAAACGGTCTGTGCCTAAAGTCAGCCAGTGCATTGACCACCTGGATTCTACGATCGCACCTACGAGTGTCGCCAATGCGATCAGCCTTACGCTTTCGTGCACCACAGTATCACATTTTTCAGTGATTTGGCGCATTGTCTCTACAGCAACATTATACAGGCCTCCAGAATCAATGACCATCCCATCTTGAGTCAGGTCAGCAAGAGAGATCAGTTGACCAACGGTCATCGCACCAGGTTCTGTCAACGCTCTGGATGACGCGACTCGACGAAGAACGCATACAACGACGCGTAGACAATCTACCGCATTTTCAGATAACTCCCTGGTGGCATCTGCTGAGTTGGCACTCTTAAGAGCATTGATATAACGCACCATGAAACATTGACCGATGGTGAACAGCGTCGGGCGAGGGCACCAGACACGCGCAATACACCAGATAGAATAGCGGGTGGCCCACCAAGAGCAAATCGATAAAGCATTGCAGTGAGCTCTCCAAATATGCCTCGCTGCATTGGTTTCGTGCCGGAGTAGTGGGAGCTCAGGAGCTCAGATAAGAACTGTAAAGTGATTACTCGTTGTTCGGCCAGGAGTCGGACAGCATCAATAGAGCTGTCGTCCAACAGAACTTGACAGGCGAGCCCCAATAGCACGGGGTAAAGCAAACATGGCTCCGATGTTTCCAGGTGAGAGACACCATTAGTGACAGGTGCGCCCTTTAGCCTTGCTCCATTAAGCGGGGCGAGAAGATTCTGATCATTCTGCTGCATGAATAGAGAAATTGCGCCCAGAATGTACCACCACGCATCTGCATAATACTTTAATCTGATAAGCAGAATCCCAAGATGATTGACCATGTGACAAGTTACCTGCAGGGTGACATCTTTTTCCAATATCAAGCTAGACATCCCAGGGCCTGTCAGCTCTTCGGGGTCTGCTGTCATTTCCGAATGTGCTTTAAGTCGAGTGTAATCGATTACGCTTTCAACCCAGAGCGCAGCCAAAACCGGGCGATGTGGAAGTATTATTGCCTCAAGGTAGGTTCTTTGGTGGCTTGACATTGCGAGTTTAGCCCAGGCAGAAATGATTGAAACTCGTAGCATGACAGAGGCGTTTGGGCCAAGTTGTCCACCTTCACCAAGTGTCAAGTTGCTTGCTCCTGGTGAGGCATTACTATTATGCAATGGACATGGTTGTCGATAGGCTTCGTACCTGCACACTGTTCCAAAGCCGTTGTCAAAAGTTTTAGGATGCGACCCATCTTTGAGCCGTCCTCTACAACTCCTGATCCAATGAAGATGGCACAAACCTCGACTGCTGAGGCTAGTAGCTCTGGCGTGGAGTCAGCGGAAAAAGCAGGAGTCAAAGCTGCTGCAATGGGTGCCTGGTACTGTTCAAGTAGCAGGGACCCTTCGACATCCGGGTCAGGTGAATCAGCGAAAATCTGTTGTCCTGGTGAGACAAAGGCATTCCATTTGACAATGAAATTAGTCGTACCTCTACAATGTCCCGTAAGACTATCAAGCCAGCCAGGCGGATCTCCGTTACATAGGCAGTAGAAGCTGTGAATGCCATTCTAATGAGTTCTGGGACCTTCGTGGCAAGGAGATTAGACATTTCAAGACCACATGTCTTGGCATAGCGCAAGTCAACGTGCTCTCGTAAGCCGGCAGCCGACAGAGTCTTGCAGATGTTATGCAGGCATTGCAAAGCGAAGAGTTGGGTTCGCCACCGGCCGATTGCACGTCGGTCGCCTCCCTTCTCCCCGTTCGATTCACCAGGAACTTGCAGAGACTCCGACTCGTCGTCTTGGGCGGTATTCGAAGGGGCCTCGGGTTTCAGAGCTCGTTGAGAGTTGTTTGCTTGTGACATAATTTTCTGGCACAGGTAGATCCAAGCCGAAGGATTGGCCGTTACAGTTTGTGAAAGCCAACTCGTCAATATAGCATGCACTCCATCAACGCTTGCATCGGCATCAAGCATAGCAAACAGTGCTTCTGCCAACTCGTCCCCCCCATATTTGGAGACAAGCAACACATCCTTCTGCACCAGCAAGTATAGTCCATTTACGGCTGAGAACTTCAGCGGTGTTCGCGGCGAGGACAGATATTTTCGGAGTCGCAGCACAATCATCGGTACATCGAGAAAGTCTCGGGCGAACATAAGACAGTGCTGTAAGCAGCGCATTGCTTCGACGACCACAGCCTCATCGACCTCAACAGAAAACTCTTGGACTAGGCAAAGCAGCAAGTTTCGAAATCTTGTTGAGTCCCTCAGGTCCGGCCCCAAGACAGCAACCATGCTGTCTTCAATTTCGCATATGACGGCATACACGGGGACGTCATTCAGCCCGGCTGAGACTGTGTGTCGTCTCCCTTCAGGCTCGTGCGCGTCTGACATGTACAGCTTAGCGAGCATTCCGAGCGTGCTCCGTATGTGTGGCTCATAGGAAAGACTGGCGGCATCAATAACCGTTGAGAGAGACTGCAAGGAGTAGTAGTGAACAAGTGGATGAGGGTCGTTCCCAAGTGACATGAGGACGTTCACGATGGTCTTCAGCAGGGGGCCCGCGGCTAATCCTCCAACCGAGGTGTATAGAGACCCGAGAGCCATCGCGCAGCCCGCTCGGCTATTAGGATCCCGGTTAGAGAGCACTTGATCCACCAGTCCTTTCACTTGTGTTGTGAGGGCCCCTGTGTCAAGACGGCTCGCGGTAAGTCCATAGGCTTCGCTTGCTGTCTTTCGCAGCTTCTGATCGGGATGACTGAGACACCCCTCGGAGAAAATCAGCATTGGGCAAGAACAGCAAAAGCCTCATACCTTCAAAAAGTCAATGATATGAGAGTATAGAGCTACACTAGCGAATCCGTCTCGACTTTCACGATCAGCCCAGCAAAGGATGTGCAGGAGAGCGCCTGCCACATTCATTGTAGTTGCAATTTTTCTTCCAGGATTGCGCTCAAGGCGAGGAGATTGTGCATTATTTAAGACCGCAGTCCACACCCTGTCACAGGTGAGTGTCGACTGATGTGCCAGGAACACCGCGAAGACGTCGAGAGCTGCATCTACCAATCTACTAGCAGCAGGGGGGGGCTCAGGCCACGAACGCTCTTCGGCCGAGATATTAGTGAGTAGGCACAATGGCTCACATTCACAGGAGCCAAGCACTGGTTGCTGTAGCTAGAAACACGTCAGGCTGAGCAATTAACTTCCTACTGGAATTCCACACCTGTTGAATGATACCCCATTCGACGCTATCTTGTGTTCGGGCCGATTTATCTTCCCGCCCACCATACGGGCTATGATTCTCAACATTCGCCGACCAGTCGTGCGTAGAGATGCCATACGCATAGCCATCATTACATTCCCAGATTGATACAAAGGAACCAGCAGACGCCGCGATGGCCGCTTGAACTTGTGACCCTCTGTACAAATCTGGTCCACTAAAGACTGTCATGGCGGAGTCGATCACTGCAGCCTGAGCAGATTCGTTGATATGTGAAGTACCGAACGCTGCAAAACATTGAAACATGCGACACTTGAACATAACCTCTAACTCCGATGTTGTTGCCTTGACATGGGGTAGAGGTGATTTGGAATCTAGTTCTTCGTCATAGCCGTCACTGGCAAGGCTGTTTGCAAATGACAGGGCGCTCGACAGGCTCGCCCCAACGCGTCGCGCAACATCAAGTGTTGTCAAAAGACCCGAATTGTGTGTCAAAAATTGCAACAGCGCACCCAACGCGCAGTGTCGAACGTGCAGAAGGAATGCCACTTCGGCTGAGAATCGAGATTGAATATCTTCGGTGTCTTTAACAGATGATCTCGAGAACGTGTTGCGCCAAAGAGTAAGTAACTGGGACATGTGCGGATGGACGAAGTGTCGTCCCAAGGTTACGAGAGCCGATATCAGAGTCCACGAAATTTCTACTTCAACAGCAGCTAGAGTCAGGTCATGCTCGCCCGCTCTTTTTAGAAGCTGCATGGCCATTTCCAAGACTTTCGAGCAGACGTCGTACGAGATATAGAGGTGGCGATAGGGAAATAAACTGAAAAGTCCGGCAAGGCCTGTTGCTTGACCCAGAGCCCTGTCCTGGGCATCTCTGTTTGCGCCAGGGACGAGTAAAGCGGCCACTCCTTTGGTAAGCTGGGCGGCGAGATCATCTGCTATCAGCTGGAGGCGGCGTGGAACAACAAGACAGAATTGTTGCAAACAGTAGGATGCGGCTATTCGAACGGCATGGTCCGGGTGTTCAAGTAGTCGCACGACAGGGGTAGTAAGCGCGTTCTGGACAATTGTATATCAAAACTTTGCCACCCATTCGCCAGACGAATCACCTACCTGCAAGAACTGAGGAGCATTTCCGAGCTGCTGAAGTAGTTCTGATACTTCTTTCAGAGCTGCGACAAGGGTCAAGCGGTGCGGGGCGTTCTGGCCGGGCATCAGGGCAGGCCATCTTCGGAGATAGTTGGTGATCAAGTCTTGAATCGCGCCAATTTGGCCTTGCTCACTGAGCATTCGAACTCCCACCAAGTCCCGCAATATGACACTGACGAATTTGCGTACTCGCAACGTTTCGTGGAGCGTCACTTGGTTTTTGGGATGACCGATGATGTCGACTAGAAAATGTCTCGCGAACACTGAATAATTTGTTTCGACGTAGGTAGGGCCAAGTTCATTCAAGAGAGTGGTGTAAATTTGAACAATGCCAACTCGTGTTCGAAGAGACCCTGTGGATTTGTTGAATGAGGTGGAAAGCTGCGACAACACCGATTGCAGAGTAACGGACGGTGCATTTGACTTTGTCGACTCCGGAGGGTTCTCCTCTTCGTCTTCCCCAGCGCCCTTCCTTTCTGGTCGAGCAGTAGTTTCCTGATTGACAAGTGGCGTGCTCACTGAGGCTGCTAGGTGAATGCCGCTTACCTCGGCGAAGTGCCTGCGAGTCGTATGATCCGCTGAATCCATATACCGCAAACAAAGTTGCACGAAATTATCTGTTTCCTGTATCGTGAGTTGCCCCAGTTGTCTTTGTATTCCTGTGACAATCTGAGGCATATTCAGCATATATATTTTCGTCACAAGTAACGTACATACATCAGCCGAGACCCTTTGAATGGCCGGGGCCTTGTCACCCATGCCATGCCTGAATGTCTTCAACAGATCTTTGACTGTGGATTCCGGTATCGCCTTTGCAGTGCTCTGAATACACTTGGAAATCGTCGCAGCCGCATGATATCGAAGTAAGACTGACTTGTGTGCCAAAATGAGAACGATCCAATGTTTCATCACCGAGCTGGCTTACATGACTGGTTGATTTGAAGAACTTCAGGCTCATAGTGACCAGATCGGCGACGAGTGACATCATCTACTAATGAATTAAAAATCATGCACGAAGGGGGGGCATACGGAGACTGTGCCATACTTGAGATCCATACGTAACCATAAGCTCGCCCATGCAGTAGAGAGCGCAGCTGGAAAAAGGTTGACCGTGCACTCGGGTATGTTGACAAACAACTCACATTCTGACGTCCTTGTCTCCTGGCTTCGGTGTTGGTTCTACAGTAAACTTCATAAGAGCCTGCAGAGTGTCGTAGAGAGTTCTTGATTCAGCTCGAGCGTAAAGCTTCACAAAGCATCGGGACAGAGCGTGTCGAATGGGACGACCCGGAAAAGGCAGCGCATCAGCGCCAGTGGCTATCTTTACAAGAAATATTTCCAGTGCTTCAAGGCGAGCACGAACTTCAGGCTACATAGACGTTTCAGCAGAGAAGAAGACCATGACGTGTAATGTCACTCGCCTTTGGTAGTTTATCCAAGGCAGCGTCAAGTTGTCTCAGCCACTGGAACAAGTCTACCTCCCCACTGTCACCCTTGAAGTGTGCCTGACATACGGTTTTGATTAGGACATTGTCAAAAGATTGAAATAGCGCGAACCTCGTCGAAAAATAGGATCTTATCTGAGGATATGCTTGTCATTGCGTTCGAATGCACTTTAGGTCATTGATGTGAAAGCCACTGATACTAGTTGACACCGCAATCAATAATAATAGGCTTTCAGGGTCTCTCGGCATCAACCATGCCGGTCGGAACCGAAACTACTGCGAGTCGCCATTTAGTCAACCCATTCCCCCTCGCAAATCACTCAGCTCAAACCATTGTATCGTCATGTCAGAAGCATCGACTGAGAACAAGTTGAGGATTGCGCAGGGGAAGAAGGATGATGGAAACGCAGCATTCAAAAGTGGCCAGTACAAAGATGCCCTGCGCTTCTATTATGAGGTGTGGTCAACTGTTACTCGCTCCTCCGTCTGACTTCATATGAATTAGGCCATTCTATACGTTCAAGGACTAGAAAAATCACTCTCCTCTGCCATGGACTCCAATATCAGCGGAGGTTCCGGCAGTGGGGCAGATGAGAAGCGACGACCAAAAACGGAGGCCAGTCTTCTATGTTCAACATCATTGCGACCAAACTCATTTATGACAGGCCGATGTTCTGCTCGTTGCCCTATATAACAATATGGCAGGTGTGGTGTGTGTCGTGAATGTCACTCGTATGTCTCAAGAGGAGGTCTAGCTGTCCACCTCAAACTAGCAAACTGGAAACGAGCTTTCGAATCGGCAGAGAAGGTTTGTGCCGCCACACGATAAATCAAATCCACTATTCAAAGCCCTATCAGGCCTTATCCAGAGATGAAGAAAATTCCAAAGCTGGATTCCGGAAGTCACAGGCCCTCGTTCAGATGGGCGAGCGTGTCAAAGCGATTAAACTCCTGGAGGAGCTCGCCAAAACACACCCGAATGGTATTCACCCTATGCACCATTCATCCTCATGATGCTTGGCTTAATCCTCCGTCTAGACGTCGATATCACCCGTGAGCTTTCTACTCAGAAGCAGAACGAAGAAAAAAGCGAGCGTGAACACGATAAAGTGTTCAAGGAAGCCTGGAAAGGTGCGAAGTAACAAGTCTGATTGGTCAAGCATCGCATTGATAATTAGGAATCAGGAAAGCTCTCATGAAATCGAGACAAAGCCTTCCAGAACACCTAATTCGAAGATCTGGATATATAGCAGCTTTAGTATGGGTCCCTCGTATCAGTACTAGTGTCTTGGGTGTGTGTTTTGCAGCTGCCCCACTCTCGTAGCCTATGATAGTCACAACGATACCTGCCCGTCACCATACCAGAAATTTTGCATAAGATTTTGTACGTAGGAAAGTCTGCTGGGCCGGAGCACATTCGCCCGAGACATAAATTCAACACGATCATGATACATAAACGCAGTGTGTCCAGAGCACAAAGTCACATGCTGTGAAGGCGGAGGAGACCCAAACAGCTCTCATTAGGATCCGTCAAACTCAGCGAGCATTGAGTAGCACTCCCCTTCACCAAACCTGCGATGACAGCTTTTTATCGCCTTCAGGCAATGTACACTAACAACTGATTCATTAAGATGCTGACAATTTCAACTAGGCCCAAACAGCCGCCGGCGTTTATAGTTTTCAGACACTCGTGGGCAAGGTCGTCTTGATTGTCAACGTGGCTTCCCGTTGTGGTATGACTCTGAGCCCACGGAATTCAACCATGATTGATGTGTCCGACTCCAAGGTTATACGCCTCAGTATGAGGGGCTGCAGACTCTTTACGAGAAGTACCAGCCCAAAGGCTTAGAAATCGTAGGGTTTCCTTGTAATCAAGTATGGCAACCTTTTCTAGCTTGACTTGGACTTACTTGTGCGATTGCTCAGTTTGGCCGGCAAGAGCCAGGTACCGACGCAGACATCGCATCTTTCTGTGAGGTGGGAATGACATCTGTGCCTCCTCGGGCCCATGAGCTTATGACACATAGATGAACTACGGTATCACCTTCCCTGTGATGAAGAAAAGGTCTGCACGAGATGCCTTGTTGGACATGTTGAACTAATTAAGCTCAGCGACGTGAATGGAGATGAAGCAAACGAGGTGCCGTGTTGTTGCTCTGGTTGCGACATAGCTAATACTGGAGTCGTAGGTATTCAGGTTTCTTGAAGAACAACCCGCTGCAGGATCTACACCCATCAAGGTCAGTTCATATCGATTCGCGGCTTTACTGCATTGTATTAACCAGCATTTCAGTGGTAGGATATGCTTAAAGACATATCAAGGCTTTGGGACTAGCTAACCAATTGATGTACTTAGGAACTTCGAAAAGGTCTGTATCGTCGGAGCTCGACGGTAGGGTGTCTGATACCTCTCAGTTCCTGATCAATCGGCAAGGTGATCTAGTGCAACGTTACCCTTCGGTACGCCAGTTTACATACCGCAGCGGGCCGTTCTTATGCATTCTTATATCAGAATACGAAGCCGGAGGAACTGGAGTCTGACATCGTGACGTTGCTCTCGTGATAAGAGTGATGACAAGATGAGCGTGATGAAATATCTATCTCCGGGAGCAATTTGATTCCACAATTTCCGAGAAAGGCAATAAATAACCCATTCCTTCCCAATAAAGTGTACCATACCACACATGTAACCCCCCCCCCCCCCCCAAACAACAACAA